CCCCCCCTGCTTAATTCGACTAAGCTGTGTTGCACCGCGGTAAAGATCACCTGTCAAAAATCTTTGAAGAAGTAAAACAAAGTGAATTATAATTATTATTTATTTATTTTTATTATTTTTAACCGGTGGAGGCGGCGTGATCACGAAGAATGAGACTGAGACAAGCTGCCAGGGCTTGGAGGAGGATAAAGCTGAGTTTAGGTTGGAAACTAAAAGACTAGATTGTTTTTTGGTACAACTTGCCCGGTTCCTCTCCACTTCCTTCAGTTTCGCTCCATGGACAGATCAACAAACCTGGACATTGAGGAGCTCAAGGTACGTGATCCTTCAGGGCGGGTGTCTTCCTTTCTTTCTCTCGCCTGCTCTCTTGCTCTGCTCTTTATTTCGCTGCCTTTTCCTTGCGTTGTTAGAATAGTTGGTGGCCCCGTGGGACGGTGAGTGGGCATTTGGGGTGAAGTGTACCCGAGCGCAGGCGCCCCTCCTAGGGCCGGGGACGTGGAAGGAAGCTTTCTGGGGCTCGGCTTGCACTCTCAGGCTGGGCTCCCCTCCCTGCCTGCTCCTCCCGACAGCAGTCATCCTCTCCTCCTCCTCCTCAGTTACAGTAGCACTTTGGGTACCAGACTCGGCGCCTAGTGCCCGTTAGTCTTAGGCTGGGAAACGGCAGCGGCAGCAGTCTCTGCTCGCTGTCTCCTGGTTACCCAGCAAAGTTGCCCGAGCTGCGCGGCCACTTTGCCACCTCTCCCTGGCTTGGAGTCCGCTTCTCCCCCGCCCCACACTGGCACAGCCTATTTCCGCTAGGTGATTTGCGTTACAGAGGCGTCTGGGGCGACCGCTGTTTTTTTTTTATTTCCGCACTTACTGAAACCCTTTTTTCCCACGACCGCTAACGCGGTCTCACCCGCAGCTGCATTGTCCCCGGGCGCGAACTCGTGTTCATTCGCGGGGCGGCTGCGAGGAAGGGGCTGGAAAGGCTTCCCCGCTGGCGCCAGGCTGGAGCATCGCCGCGCCGAAAGGGTCTAGGGAAGTGCAGAGCCCAACCGAGCCGACCCAGAGCGAGTTTGGGCTGCTCTGGGTCGGGTGGGGGTGGGGATGGGGGTGGGGTGGATGGGGGGCGGGGTGGCACCTCCCCCAATGTGCCTGCGGAGCGGCGCGTGGTCTGGGACCCGCGCAGCGCCCGGCATCCCCCTGCAGCTTCCTGGGGAATCCTCGCCTCGCCCTTTCCTTTCCCAGACGCAAGGGTGGGAGCGTCCAAGCTGACAGTTTGCCCCAAAGCCTGTGGACTGCGAACTTAAGAAAAAACCGACAAACCACAAAAATGATTTAAATGTCCCGCTCACTGTAAATGAAAAGCCGTGGAGGGGGCGAGTCTGGGAGCATCTTTTCCTTTCATTCCCCAGCCCTTTTTACTCCTAGACATTTTCTGCACTGTTACATTGTTTCAGAGGGTTGTTGTTGTTATAGATATTCAGTTCAGATGGACTCTTTGTTCAACCTTGACTTACAGGCACCTTTATCCACTGAGAAAACCTGACTACTATGAAGGTTTGTTCTGTTAAATGGATTTGCCCAGTAAGTTTGGAAGGCTACTGAAATCCCCTGCAAAGGGCAAAAGCCCTCTGCTCTGGTCACCAAGTGTAACCCAGCACTGAGCCCAGTGCTTTTAGAATGTGGTCTCCAGATCTCATGGCTTTGTAAATTGTATAAAGCTAAGGACAGACAATAGAGAACTGTGACATATTTTGAAATGCCTTTGCTATGTTCTGTAGTTGAAGGTGGAGTAGGGGGAAGTGATCAGAACTTAGTTGCCACTACATTTAAGGCAGGTTTGAAGAAGTGATGTTTGGAGGAGGCATATTTGCTATTCCCCCTTAGAATGGGGAGTAACAAGTAATCTGTGTTATGGCTGATGCCAGAATTAGTAAACTTCCACCTGGATAGAGGTATCCTCTATCTCCTATTGTCTATGTAAGGTGTTAAATTAGGATGCATTATCTTTGTATTTGAAGTATCCCTGGCTGCCTTTTTACAAGCAATCCAGTCACTGGGGGAAAGTAGTAGGTTATTTGAGATGCAAAGGAAAGTACTTGAACAATGTTTGTAAAGTATGTATCATGCAGAGACAGTTTCCAGATGATGATGATGATGGTGATTACTATTATTATTAAAGCTTAGGGTATGGCACAGTAGAAAGCTTTCTTTGGAAAAAAATGGAAAAGAAAATGATTTGAAGTGATCATTTCCCCTGATTCCGTTAGTTTTCTAGTATGTTATTCCCCTCTGAGCCCTGGCAATATTAAATTCTTAAACGAGTAAAAGAGCAAAACCATTGTGGAAACTTCTGTTTTGTTTAGTAGAAGATCTCATCCTAGCCCCCAAACAATTACACATTAATTCAGAGATTCTCACAGCCAGGGTGTGCTAGACTGTGTGGAGAAGTAGCACAAGGGTGGAAACTGGAAAGGCTTGACATAGAGTGTATTGGCAATGACTGACTGGAAGAAAAGAAGGAATATTAGAAGAAAAGATCTTTTGAGGTAGCTGAAAAATTTTGTCAGGGCAGCGACTGTTGAGAGTCAAAACTGGCCAGATGAGAAAGGTAGTTAAACCTTATTAGAAAAAAAAAATGAGATCTTCCAATTTGGGAAGTAAATTTGTATCATGAGGTTTGATTACACTTCTGGAACATAGAGGCTTTGAAATATTTATATTTTGGAATAAATGCACTTCATAGGCACAGGTGAACCCCATGTGGAATAACCTGTTAGTAGTTCTTCTCATCAGCAGAATCCTTTGCTTTAGACTTTCTAAATAATTCTAGTTGATATTATTTTCTGGTGACTTCTTGCTGAATAGACCCTGATGATGGTCAGTGGTAGAGAAGGAAAAATGGGGATGCTTAATTTCGGTATTGTTTGCCTGTTGATTTTTCATCCTATGAGTCAAGGACCCTTAAGCAAAGGCATAGCTAAATTAAAAACTTTAGTTGCTATGATGTTTTAAATACATGTAAAGAAAAATAATGTTTACTACCATTTGATACATAAATGCACAAAATAATGTTCAAGAATACTTTTTAATTTAGTTTAACATCATATGTGTTGTTATTAGGTACGATTGCTTACATCAGGATTGAAGGAAAGAAATTCTGCTAATTTTCTTAGTTTGCAGGAAATTATTTTCCTTTTATGAGATTCTAGCAAATAAATTATTTTTTTGCTATGTTGAATGTGTTAATGTTGATTTTAATATGCTGTTCAGTAAATTGTCTTTTGAAAGTTTTTAAATCAATGATAAGTTTCAACAATGAAGTGTTAATCCAGTGTTGTTAATGTACTATGAAATATAATATCCATATTAAAATATATGCTGGTGGAAGTTAAGATATAGCTCTCTACATAAAACTTACTAATGAAGGCAAGCTTATTTCATCTTCCTTTCTGCACATAAACTACTGATGAATCAGTCTTAAGAAGGGAGAGAGCTCTCATCCAAAGAATTTTGGTCTGTTCTTTTCCCTTTGATCTCTCTTTCTTTCTTTCTTCAGTAAATGTATAAACTTTATTCTGGATTTTGCTCTGGTATTTGTTTAAAGAAACAACATCAAAAAACCCAAAATTTGGGTTACTGCTTTGGAAAAGTGGGTGTTAATGAATGTTGACATTAGAGAAAGCACCCCCTATCCTGGAACATCTGAGTTATAAAGCACACTTAGTAATTGATATTTAAATTAATAACTTTAGCCATTATTTTTGCTCTGTAGTTATCCTCTTTTAAACAACGTATCTTATAACACTAGAACAGAAAATGCCACTAATTTCTAGAGCTGACACATTTCCATTTGTAGCTTTTATAAAATATATTGAATCTAAATAAACGGTAATATTTAAGTAGTATATAACAATGCATATGATTCAATGATTTTTCTCAACTTTTTGAAATATGGATTTTAATCACCTGTATTAATTTTGAAATCAAGAAATCATGCTTTTGAACCATATATTTGTATATAATTGTAGTTTGCTTGGAAATGAAAAACATAATATTCATCACAAATATAATAAGTACAGCTTTTTCAGCCCTGTTCAATTCCAGCCTTTATTTATTTGTCAGTGTTGTTCCTTTAATGAGATAACTGATTAGAAGTTAAAATGAAATTTTTCATTACTGGTAGAAATAAATTATATGTCACTGAAATATTTTATTAATTTATAAAAATATAATAAACTACATAGTTAATACTGAGATGCACTAACAACCTTTCGAAAAATATAACTGAACTTGTTTAAGTTAACTACTAGCAGTCCAACACTGTTGGTGTAATTTTATCTCTTTAACTTAAATTAAAGAGATAAATACATTTTTATCTGCAGAGAACTTGAACATTGCCCCAAATCAGAAAGGAGAAACCTTCCTTGAATAATACAGTTAGCTGAGAAATGATAATAAAACAAAACAAAACAAACAAACAAACAAAAAATCAACATCGGTGATTAAACAACTAACTGGTTGATTAAAAAATGTTGAGGTCTGAAACCAAGTTTATAGTACATGCATCTACAATTTCAAACAAGTAAGAGAGTCAGTGCGTAGAACTGAGTTCTAAAAATGTTTTTGTCCTGTTTCATCAATAAGATACAACTTATGAAAGTCAGGCTGACTACAGTGAGGAAGCTTGAGATGAGTTTAAGTATTTTTTTTTTTATGTTAGTAATTCCCTAGTGAGAACTAGTACTCAAATATCATATTTTTAGCAACGTGGCTTATACATTCATTTCTTGGCTTAGAATAAGAAACACACTGTGAGTACTGAATTATTTGACCTCTTTCACATCTCAAGGAATTTATAAGTTCTCTCAGTCCAGAACTGGTTTCCAATTCTCTTGTTAACAGAAGCCAGTCATGAAAATGTAGAAACAGTTAATCTTGATTTCTTAATATTCAGAATATGGATTTATTCCATCAAACTTGTAGTAAACAGTAGCAAGACATTCTTGTTTATATTAAGACAGGAGAGATGAAGACCATGTTTGACCTAAGTGACAAGAAATTTAAGAAGCACACATTTGCGGTAATAGTAGTAGTACAAATGACTATTTTTGAAACTGTTAGTGTCCTGCTGTTATCACTAAGTATATATTCCACTCTCTATTGGATGTTTCCACTTCACTCATCTCCAAAGGAAAGAATATTTCAAGATTTATAGGTTTAATTCAGAACTACACAAGGTGGCTTAATGCTCCAATACAATAATCAGTATATGTCTTTTGGAACATTTCTTTTGTATAACATTTAGTGAGGTGTTTCTCATATTGTAT